GAACTACATCCCAACTGAAGCATTTCGCTGTTGCTGTTTGTCTGTTTCATTTTGTTCTTTTGAGAGAGTCTCACTGGAATCTGAAAAAGCCACCAGCTTTCCACAGTCTCTGGGCTAGAATCACAGATGTACACGACAATACCCAATTTCAGAGAATACGGGTTTGCGCTACCATGGCCAGCTTCAGAGTAATGGCTGCCAGTTAAAGTCAAAGCTCTTCAGTGGCATCTAACACATACAGACCCTGAGATGAGACCCAGTAATGACAGGCATAAAGAGAAGTCATCCTCTCCCATTGACTAAAAATTAATTGGTTTGATATTTTAATATCTCTAAAATATTATTTAGTGGTGACGTATTTTAACCCTAATTTCATTTGCATTACTCTACTGTACAGTTAAATAAAAAGAAGCACCTTGACTAAAAATGCTGATCTTCATCAACTTTAACCATGAAATAACAGTCATGTGGGTAAATGCTATCTCTGGGCTAGGGAATGCATTAAAATTAGATGACACCCTTTCACAGGGAGAGGGGGTAATAATCAATCCAGTGCAGAAAGAGCGAGCTAGCACAGGACTTCTTTACAATAAAAGAAGACGATCATGAAGCGACTTGGCTCAGTCGGGGGAAGGTGCCTGCAGCCAAACCTGAAAACTAGACTTAGGTTCCTGGAACTCACATGATGGAAGAAAAGAACAGATGTCTGCACCATGTCATCTGATCATCACATGCACACCTCAGTGTATGACACAAGCCCACATACATTCACACACACACACACACACACACACACACACACACACACACACACACACACACACACAAATGAACATAAACTGTATTTTTTAAAATACAGACCACATAATTTTAATTTCACTTTACAGAATTCTTTAAAAATCATTGTACTTTTAATAGTTAGGCATTGAACTTAATATATTACTTAAAAATTTTAATCCTAATTAATTTAACTACCACTGGTAGTTTTAATAAATCAACAATTGTAATAATTGTAGCATGAGGATTACAGTCATGGTTTCTTACATATATTTTGATGCTTATATAAACTATTCTGTTTATAAATATGGCAGGGAATAAAACACCAGTGCTGTTTGAGTTGATATTCTTACATTACTCTTGGGAATGGAAGTGTTATATAAAAATTTAGCTTGAAGGCCAGCCAGTAAGTAGGTAAGGGAACTTGCCACAGAGCCTTTGGACTCAGGTTCAATCCCAGGACTCATAAGGTAGAAAAAGCATGCTATGGCACACAAATGCCAACACACATACAAAATAAAAAAATGGGGGAAGAAAGCATTTAACTTGAATATTCTCAACCAATAGACCCCTCAATGAATATTCACAGTGTAATAAAAGGAAACAATAAAATTAAGTTCTGGGGGAAGTAGAAACTAAAGGTTAATAAGAGATCTAGTACTTAATATAGCTATGGAGAATTTGAAATGAGTTAATTAATGCTACTGAGAAACTGAATTTTATATTAATTTCATTATTTTATTAAATTTAACATTCACAACTGCTATTCAAGTCAATCACTAAGAAAATTTTAACTAAATTGAAAAAAAATTCTGGATCTGTGAATCTACTCTCAAACTGACAATTTTGTTAAATCAAAATGCATGCTAAGTATTTTCATGAAAAGGCAGGATATATGATCATATTTTCTGTAACCAGATTTCAGAGACATGGTATAAAGGAGAATAAAAGCTTCTGTTAATGAGTTTTAAAACCAATATATGGTAATTTCATAATACCTCTATATATTGGGCTAAATAAAATATTATAAAAACTCATTAAAGTGTTCTTGTACTTCACATTACCACTAAAAATGTTGAATAATGTAAGGGGGATGAATTTTATTTCTCTTGGACAGTACTGCCTTAGATAAAACCTAAAACTAATGCTAAATTCTATTTTTTTAAGACAAGGTCTCATTATATAGTCCTCATGTGGAACTCACTATGTAACCCATAATTGACTGCAAACTCATAAAGAACTGCCTATCTCTGCCTCCTAAATGCTGGAGTTAAAGGCATGCTGTAGGGAGTAAGTCTTGAGCTGGTCAAGTCCTGACTGACTGTCTACTCTTTGAAATGAGACCACCATGTTGAGAATGAAAGACTCGGACCCACGTGAAACCGGTCAGGCTTTCTCCATACTGGTATGGCTCAGAGGAATTGGCAAAGACTTCCTCAGGTCTGAGTGTGAGGGCTGACAATGAGTACAAGTATAGGTGCTTACCAACAACAAACAAATATTGCAAAGTAAGGTGTGCAAAGCCTAGCAACTGCAGCTTCGTCCTCCTGTATGCATGCAGCCTGAGACAGCTACCCCACAGCGACCAGGGACCCAAACTTACCAAGCCCTGCCCTTGTGTTGCACAGAACAAGCCTGCTGAAGTCTCAAGTTGCTGCTGTAGGTGACAGCACTCCATCAGAGTGTGCATAACCCTCCTTACCCCAGCATTTCTGTATGTATATCTGTGTGTCTATCATTTCTTCATCTCCTCACCATGCCAGTCAGGTTTCCAGAACCACGTCTCATAGGTCCAGACAGTCTGCATGACCACCTTTAGTTTTGTTTAATTCTTTAACAGACAGCTCACACACAGAAAAATCTACTTTTGACATATGGTTTTACACAGTTTGATTAATGCATACAGCCACACAATCACCTGTGGCAGTTTGAATATAATCGGTCCGCATAAACTCAAGAGAACAGCACGACTGGGAAGTTGACCTTGTTGAAGAAGGTGCAGACTTGTTGAATGTAGTGTGCCATTGTGGGGGCAGAATTTGAGGTCTCTTTTGCTTAAGCTCCGCTCAGTGTCACAGTGCACTTACTGCTGCCTTCTGATCAAGATGCAGGCAGCGCTATGTCTGCCTGCATGCCACCATGTTCCCAGACAATGGACTGAGCCTCTGAACTGTACGCAAGCCACCACGATTAAATGTTTTCCTTTATAAAAGTTGCCCCTGACAGGGGACCAGGATCTATCCCTGGTGCATGAGCTTGATGCAGGATGTTCTTCTGTATATATGTTTCTCTCATTGGTTGATGACTAAAACAGTGATTGGCCAGTAGCCAAGCAGGGCAAACAAGCAGGGTTACCAGATGAAGATACTGCTGGGGAGAAAGAGGCCAGGAAAAAAGACACCATGCTGATGAAGGAGTAACATGCCAGATTACCGGTAAGACACAGCCTCGTGGCAATACATAGAGTAACAGAAACGGGCTAATAATTAAGAGAAAGCTAACCAATAAGAAGCCTGAGCCATCTTAATATAAGTCTTTGTGTGTTTGGGGTTAATGAGCTGCAGGACCAGCCTGGAAAGAAACTACAGCTACATAAGCTGGCTTTTTGGAACCTATTCCATATAGTGGGATGCCTTGCTCAATCTTGATACGGGGAAAGGCTTAGTCCTGCGTCAACTTAATGGGCCAGGCTTTGTTGACTCCCTATGACAGGCCTTACTCTTTCTGAGGAATGAATGGAGGGTTGGTTGCGGAGGTGGAGGGAGAGGGGGGAGGGAAGGGAGAAAGAACTGTGGTTGGTATGTAAAGTGAATAAAAATTTTTGAAAAATATTTTTAAAAAGTTGCCATGGTCATGATGTCTCTTCACAGCAATAGAAACCCTAACTAAGCCATGACCATGACCTATGGTGGTTTGAGTGAGAACTAGGCTCATGTGTTTGACCACTTGGGTGGCCAGTTAGTGGTGCTGTTTGAGGAGGTTACAGAACCTTAAGGAAGTACATCCCTGGGGACATAGCCTCACCCTACTTGTAATTCACTCTCTCTCTGCTTTCTGCCTGTGGTTGAAAAATGCAACCTCTCACCCTCTTACTCTACACAGCTGCTGCCATGCCTCCCCTACAAATCTGGAATCTCCATCTGGAGCTGTATGCAAAATAAACTCTTTATTTGGCAAGTCATTTTTTATCATAGTGTTTTCCCACAGCAAGGCATTTTTTATCATGGTGCTTTGCCACAGCAATGAAAACTAGCTGATATCCTAGCTCAATAATTATGGCTTAAAACATTTTCATCATTCCAGACAGTACCCTTCTGCCCTCATCCACTGACAAGAATAACAATAATCTGTTTTCTATTCCTATACATTCGGCATTTCCAGAATGTCTAGAAAAATGTTTCACTCTGACAATATCAAAGCATAAGTATTATACTCCTCTATGATACTAAAGATTATGATCACTTTCATGTTTCTTTTTCTGATATCAAAGACTATTTGACAATGTCTGTTTTATCGAGTTATTTCTCTTTCAATACATAGCTCTCTTCCTTATTTTATTATGGGTTTGCTTATCGTCCAAGCATAAAGCATAGCATTCCATCTTACAGTTTTTCTCTAGGTCCTTCCAACAACTAGACTACAAGTTAAGAAGTCCCATTTCTTGACACTCAATTTTTTTGTACTACTCTTAACTCTATGTAATGTAGGTAGTAACAGGGCAAATGTCAAAAGAAAGGGAAGATGAAGATGACAAAGGAAAATAACATTTGAGTGATTGGTGCCATTATCTAGCATACTGGATGTCCTCTTTTGCTGAAGACTCAATAGCAGCACAAGGCTAGAAACAACTAAGAAATGTGATCTAGCTAGTCACCTGCAAAGGTTCACGAGACTATCTATGGCAAGGTTTTCAGCAATGTTGTTCCTCCTTTTGGTCAGAGAATGGCAGCAATTTCTAGTATTCTTCCTAACACTATTTTCCCACATTCTGTTATTTCTTGTGCCTGGTATTCCAGAGAGGAAAGATTCATGAATACATGTATCACATGATAGCAGAAGCCACTACACCACATGAAGTAAAATATTTAGTCAATTCCATGACACTAGCTGACAAGTCAGATAACTGTTGGAATCATTAATATTAATATAATTAAACATGGAAATTAAGTCTGCATGACAGAAAAATAAAATATTAATATCTTCAATGCTTTCAAAATACTCACTGAAGTCTCCAGTAAGAAAAACTCCTTCTGCTCCTGGGGCCCATTCTTTGCAGTATATGCTACCGTCAGCACATCTGTGGATGCCAAGTGACTCGTAGCCTCTGGAGAACTTATCGATACCACCTTCCTTCTCCCCAATGTCACGCAAAACCTGGATAAACTTCTTATACCTTTGCAAAAGTACAACAAAAGAGAAGTTAGAAATTTTGTCTTCCCAAAAAAGAAAGTAACAGTCAAATCAGCAAGACAATAAAATCACTCTACAGCAAAGTTTCACCAAATGTTCCTGCACAGGTCAGAGGCTTTGGCAGCCCCCTGGTCTCTTTGTCCCAGCTACTCAGCTGTGTCTCTGAAGCAAGAAAGGGGCTACAAGTGATATGTTAATGAGTGCCTTGGTTGCTCCCAATAACTGCATATTTACAGAAACAGGGGGTTGGAACTATGGGCTGTAGCTTGTGTAGCCTTGCCCTGAACCATCAGATCATGGAAAGAACACTTACAATGTCACATCACAAAAGCCAGTAAGCATGGAAGAAAGCCGAAGATTCCCAAATAGAGAGGGACACCGCAAGCATACTGCTGCTCTTGACCCTCCTCCCATTCCCCAGGATTCCAGAATCATTATTGGTACATTAAAAAAAAAAAAGAAAAGAAATACAACAACAGAAACCCTAGTTATTTTATTAATCAACCCCTATGTCTGAGGCAAACTTGGAGAAACAGTCTAATGAAACTAAAGTATTAAACTGTGAAGCAGTTTATCATGTCTTTATCAGGGTTAGTGCTGTTGTCGTGAAACAGCACAACCAAAGCAACTTGGAAAAGAAAGGGTTTACTTGGCTTCCAAATCACTTTTCATTATTGGAGGAAGTCAGGCAGGAACTCAAACAGAAGAAGGGACCTGGAGGCAGAAGGTGATGCCGAGGCCATGAAGGAGTCCAGCTTACTGGCTTGCTTCATGTAGCTTGTCCAAGACTCAAAACCATAAGCCCAGGGAGGCCAAAACTACAATAGGCTAAGTCCTTCCCACATCAATCACCAATTAATGAAATGTCCTATAGGTTTGCCTACAGCTCATATTATGAAGGAATTTAATCAAATGAGGCTCCTTCCTCTCTGATGACTCCAATTTCCATCTAGCCAGCACAGATCTTTCACATAAAATGTAAGAATGCCAGAACTGCAAGATGAATCTCTCTACAGCATCTCCTGTAAATCTAGCGGGGGAAAAAGAAACTGAAGTTCCCAGAAAGATGGTATGAACCTAGATGGAAACACAGGGAAGATATAAAATCTGGGAAGCTAACTAATTAAAAAAAAGTGAACTTAATTAAACAGGTGTGTGTGTGTGTGTGTGTGTATTTCATGCTATACAGTAAGTGAACTTAAAAATGAGTCCAGCAAATGTAAACTAAGATACTATATAACAAATAACAGAGTGAGAATTTAAATGTAACTGAAGACCTAAAGAAAGAGACAGATAGAAGGCTCAGTGAGTAATGGTGTTTGCTATATAAGCAACTGTCAGAGCTTGATCCCTGGAACCTACATGATAAAAGGAAAGAACCAATTCCTATAAAATGTTTTAAGTCCTGTACACACACACACACACAGTAAGTAAATGTAAAAAGGGAAAGAAAAAGAGGAAAACAAGATGTCATTAGGAAATAACTGATGAATTAGAATAATTACATAATTAGCAAGTAATTAAATGTACAAAATGAACAAACTATTAAATAGATTAAAAATAAGCTTCTAAAATAGAGAGAAAATAAACCAGAAAGGGAGAGGTGGTGACTCTGAAAAACAAGATAAAGTAGATTTAAAAATGTACCCTTTCCTAACTAAGTAAATCCATATATGAAAACAGCAGCATTCTGCATGTTACACTTTGAATATGAAATGTCCCCCATGGCTTATCTGGTTAAGCCTTGGTCCTCACACAGTTGGTGGTGCCATAACGATAACTTTCAGGAGGTGGACCACAGCTAGAGGAAGGGAATCACTGTGATGGCGGTTGGGGGTCCTTTGGCGCTACACCTTGTACCAGGCCTATTCCTGCCTTGGCTTCCTAACAACCGTGAAATGAACAGCTCCTCCCTCACAAGGTCTTACTACCATGCTATTTTCTGCCTTATCTCAAGCTCAGAGCAATGGAGCCAGACACAGGGCTACTGCAAGTGCTCCTGGTGGCCCATCAGAACAAGAACGTAAGGTCCAAGTGCTGAAGATTCTAATTACAAGAAATGCAGAGCTCAAGTGGGCATGGAGCTAGCAGCATTCTCTCTGCTGGCCATGTCTCATAGGACTCCAACGTGCTAAGCAGTCTGATGAAGAGAAAAGTCTTCAACAGTCACACTCACCTGCAGGCTTTGCATGCTAATGACCAACCTGCCAGGCAGGATGAGGCCCCTGGTGCAACCATGGTAACAAACTATTTTCTGATTGGATCTGAGGCCTGCTCTGCAGGCAGGATTTCACACCTGATGCTGTGAGTTACAGTTAAGGAAGCCAGTTTGTCTAAGTAACTTATGTTTATGTCCAGAGGTTAGTGCTGCTGTGGGCCTAGGTTCGAGAAGCTTCTGCCGTCTATCGCAGTGGGCAGTAATTACTCCAGGGACTCATAACTGGTCAGAGCGCTGAGAATAAGTGGTTGTTGAATGCCAGCCCTAAATTGGACATCTATAATCCCACCACCTCTTTGTCTCACTTCCCCCACCCACCACCTGGCAAGGCTCAGGGAACATCAAAGAGGGAGTAGAGAGAATGTAAAAGTCATAGGGAGAAACAGAGTGCTATGGAATACTACACTCACAGCTCGGTAGGGCTTTCAGACTCATGAACTCACAGCAGCTGTGATTATGTGCTCATGATTGGACCCATCAACATGCTGTCATAGAACGGGGAGGGCTTTATGCTGAAGATTCGTAAACAATTAATGATTGCTTGGAGAAGAGGAGCATATAAGATCTCACTCCTTTCCTGATACCTGCAGGTATGGTTGCAGGGGTTAAGTTAACTAGGCTCCTATAGTAACTCTTGGTCTGTAGTACTAGAAGATGCTAAGCCTCACTAAAATCACTGGGTAAGGAAAAAGAGATAGAGAGAAGAGTGAAGGGCTCTAGAACAAGAATTGCCACTACAAAATAGGGCCTTGACTGAGAGAGAAAAATAAAATAAAATATGGAGAAAGGGGAGTGGAACTATATAGGAAAACGTCGCTCACCCACTGAGAAATTTCATTATAGTTTTTTCTGCTTTCTAATTTCGTGAGTAGGCTTAGATGAACCTTTGCAAAATAACATGTAATTAGGTAAAGAAAGTTATATTATAAATGAGTCTTAACAATGTGTTTTTTATTTTATTTTAATTTCAGTCTTTCAATAAGTAAGATGAGTTAACAATAAATGTATCATATTTATGTCCCTCATATTTTATAGATTTTTTTCTGCACCCTCCTACCAATAGACAAGCATCTAAAACTAACACAAATGCTATAAGCATTAATGATTTTGAAGAGGGAAACTAACTTTCTGTGAAGGTCGTCTGTCCCCCGCTATGCAAGGTTTTTCTCAGTTTTCCTTACTTTGCTCTCTTTTTCTTTTATAAAATATGAGTAGTACTTTAAGAAATTAGTTTTCAAAAACTCTATGTTAATATTAAATCTACTAGACATTCTTATATAATATTCATAGGAATTTCACTAGGTATGCAAAACTGTTTATTAAATGTATGGAACTGAAACCATGTGAAATAGAGCTTTGGAACAAACTTGGGTTTCTGAAACAGTCACAGGCTGAGATCAGATATAGAAACTAATGAATGATAAGCCAGCATTGCAAATTAGCAGGGGGAAAAGGCATATCTAGTGACACACTGCAACTGTAAGTCTGCCATTAAAATGTCATCCTTAACACCACAATCCTTTCTAATAAGATCAAAATTATAAGTGTTAAAAAAACAAATCACAGAAAATGAAAATAAATAAATCCAAGAAGGCCCAAATCTATATCTTCATTTCCAATCCCTACTAAAAGCCCAGCCAGTATGGACAGGATGCAGTTGGGGTGGCAGGGGAACTTCTCATACATGGTGCTTTGTCGAAATACAAAGAAATAATTTGTCATCCATTATTAAAATTTCAAAACTGTTTTATTCAACTCCCTTCTTAGAAATGTATTCTTTAGACACATTCCAGAAGAAGTAAAAGCATCTCTGTATAAAATTATGGCACTGAGTATAGCCAAACTATGAGACATGAACTATCTAGCTGACAATGGGAAACTCGTTGAATAGACTTACAAAATATTCCAACAGTAGATGGCAAGAGGGCCTCCAGGAAGAGTGGGCTGAACAAAGTGTGCTGACGGGGTTAATGTACAAGGGAATCAATCCCAGATTCACTGCACTCCTTATCCAGAGACCCAAACTGACTTCTTGGTAAAGTTGTGCAGGTACACAGCATATGAGGCACTGAACACATCTAACAAACACAAGATGATAAAGGAATGCTACTGAGGTGGATCCCGGAATGTTGGAAGCAACAAGAAAAGAGAAGCTTCACTGAGCCAGACAGCTGTGCCCCTCAGCTGGCCATGGCCTCTAATTCACAACTGCACCTGCAGCTCTGTTATCTAGTATCTTTTACCCAAACAGGTACTTTACTCAGATCAGAAAAAAAAAAATTCAGAGTTTCCTAGCAACTTCAACAGTGGCAACATTTTGAAAATATTTAAAATAATGACCTAGGTTACAAATCTGACAGAATACCAAAAACGTTTAAAGTATGTGAAAAGTTTCTTCGTTTTTTAAAAATAGCCTCCACATAGTAGTCAGATGCAGTTCTTTGAATACATTTTTCTTCATTGGGACCCTTTTAAAGCCAATTACTTTTTAAGGAAATTATAACTCAGAGCCACCGCCATTAAGTAATAATCATACAATAAAATGAATAAACAATATAAAACAATTTAACAAAGTCAGGATTGAGGGCAAAAAGTACAAATTATCCAATATAAAAGGCATAAATTTCCAGAGGTTAAATAAATATAATAATTCTATTGTCAATCTACACGATGCATTAAAAACACATTCTTAGATTTTTTTAATCATTCTTACAAAATTTGCTGAAGTCATATTCCAGTGCTCCATTTGGAAAAGTTTCAATGGA